TAATCGCAGCAATACATTGCTCTATGCTTATTGCTGATCAATTTGTTGTTAAACTTAGTTTTTAATTCGAAATAATATCTGGAATACTGCGTGATCATATATGACTGAGTCTCTTGGAAGTAGTTTTTAAACAATGATGTTAACTTTTCTTGCATTTATGTTTGCATAACGGAAGTAAATCTATGACCGATGTCAATCGTGAAATGCGATAAATTTAAGTTATGTTTTGGATACATTTTGCAAATTTAAAAATGTCAACAATCTGTTACTTTTGACAGTTGGAAATTATAGGAAACATTGTTATACAAATTTAAGTTAAAAATCCAGGATTGCCAACAGACACTCAGTCATTACTGATCACGCGATAATAGGAGACCTGGTGTCTATTAAATAACGTTTTACACAGTACTATTTGTTGCTCACCCTTTCATACTTTCTATTATCTCAATAGTTTCTGAGCTGACCTTTATAGCTCTTACAACGTCGGTGACATTTGACATGATATTTGTATGCAGATAGATGTAGGTGATATAATTTTAAGAACAATACGAAAACTGAAGTTATAACTCGCTATTTTCTTATGTAAAGTGAACTATTTGTTTATTACTTTATAATCGAGTCTATCGGACGAATGACCACTTTTATGGCTGTATGTCTGTCTGTATTCATTTTTATTAGACACGTAATCTCCGAAACTGCTGAACCGATTGTTGTCAAATATATTAGAAATATCATGCAGATCGTTAAATACTAATTAAAATTTGGCTAATCATCCCCACCAAAAATTTGATGACGTCATTCCAATAAATGGTATTCTAAAATGATTTGAACGTTATACCAAAATATACTCATATACTTGTAGTATACGAATCCACTTTCGGTTTTTTCGCTAAACGTTCAAATTTTTGGCAAAAACATTTGCAAGGTATAATAACGTTTTATTTCCGACATGGTTTGAACGTAATCGAAGAGAGCGACAACCTGCGGTACTGCGATTGTGCCGACCTTGGCCCTTTACTGTTTTTTTTTCTTACATTGGTATAACGCTGTGACTACTTTTCTTTTATGCTGTGACTAGAATTATCCATGTTGATGACATCATCACAAATTTTTTATTGGTCAAATTATTTATTTTCCCGAAAATGTGAAGAATACGCACGTCTTTATATAATAAATGATAAAATAAGAATTATAATATTTAGAACATTTTGTTCCATAGCGGTTTAATTAATAATTTTTAAGTCTTGTTTTGAGAGGACAAACTGATTCAACTTCTAACGTGACATTCTTTCGATGTGTAAATATAAATAAACACTTGAGTTTGAGATTGCCATTACCTACTGCTGAAGGAAAGGGGTGTTATTTATGCCTCTGGTTTTTACTTTACAGCGGTTATCACAAAACGAAAATCGTAAAATCAACTTTTATAATTTTTTAAAGAGGTGGATTTATCGGATTATACTTACAGCCTTCGATCAATTTTTTATTGATCAATTTATGAACCTCATTTATTAGATTTGCTTATACAGGTCATTCAAAAAAATTAATGAATCAGTCAATCTATTTTATTGAATAAATCAAGAATTGCAAAGCTGAATACTATGAAATCTTGCAGATGAGTTTTTACTCGTGATTTATCATTGCATTCATATTTTTTACATTTGCTTAAACAGGTGGCTCAAAAAAATCAATTTTATTGATTAAACCAGGGGTGCGATTTTGTTTCTCGATCGAAGTGATAAATTATCACTGCGACAATTGTCATTGCGTAGCTTTTAAATGCAAAAGTTTGCATTTATTCTTTGCATATAAGTTTATTAAATGCTCAAAAGTTTACAATTACCTTAATTTTAAGAACGTATAACTCAGAATTACGATTTTGAACTTCTATTTTGACATAAATTTCGAGGTTATGTCTCCAAAATTCATCACTTCACTCAGAGCTATCGAGAAAATATCACTCCATGAAGACTTGATTTCGTGACAGAATCGAGAAATGTGACAGAAATGTAGCATTTCAACCAATCAGCAAACGAGATTTTATCGCTATCGAGTTTTTTTCGATCGAGAAACAAAATCGCACCCCAGGAACGGCTTACTCCATATTCCCAAAAAATTTTGGAAATACAGTACAGTTATTTTTAGTATTACCCTGCACCAATCCAAGTTTATACGTGTCCTTGCAAAAATGTTGATGACTTCATCACAAAATTGTGTAACGAAAAAACTCAACTCGAAAATGCTGGACATGTTTCATTGTACGTCAGGAGCGAGGGAAGTTCTGTCGAAACAACTTTCGACAACTTATATTTTTAAATCTTTTCCAACTTTACTGGATGATATAAAACTTTTCATTTCTCTCTCGTTTTACTGTTTTAATTTTTCATATCTTTCGCGTACACTATAAAATAGTAGAAATAAAAATTTTAAGACTTTTGACACTCTGATCTTGTTTTCCCAATTGTTTATGCACCCAATTAACGCACGTACCTATACGAAGCTGTTGATGAAGCTTAGCATCAGTTTGATTGATGCAGAATTTCTACCTAGGTAACAACGATGAAGGGATCGTGAGCAACTATTAGAATGCAGAAGTTTAAAATCAGAATGAAATAAAATACGTCATGATTAAGTCAATTTTGTACTGAAAATGCACAAAGTATTTTAAACAAATTTATATCGTCAACATACTATCACATGTTTTATTGTTACCAAAAATATTTTTTTTTTTTTTCAGTAACCATTAAAAATTTGCCAAATTTAAATGAACAAGTTATAATTTTATGGTAAATTTTAACTGATCAAATTCACACAAGAAATAATACATATGGAAAACAATGAAATAAATGTGAATACAAACAGACGCTAGCATCTCGACGACCACCATCAGAAGCTTAGTTTATACACAGTGTAGCAGCCGGTCGTAATCGCTTGTAATGTGGTGTTAAAACATCGGCCATTGTTGTGAGGTGGGGTTGTAGAGGTTAAACATGGTCATTAATAACCCTGGTTAACTAATCTGTCCGCCGTGGCCATCTATCTTTACAAGTTACTTTACCAAGCCCGAAGCGACGCGCATTCAGTGCAACCTCGATTACTACAATAACAAATTTATGAATTACGATTTTTATTTTGTTGGGATATGAGGTGCCTTTCGGCGTGCAGATTCTTATTCATAAATAGCATACAGTTAATCTTACTGGGTGAAAAATTTGCAGCACTTTAAATTAAAAACTAATTTCGTCTTTAATATTGCGTTAACTTTTCAAAAAGTTGCCAATTTGATCTCTTAATATGGGCTTTACTTGTATTACGAAATTTTAGGATGTGAATTTGAACTTTTTGACTTTAGGTGTTGACACATTCTTCACCACTTCATTCTGGTAACCGTAAACCTAAACCAACGACATGTCACTATTTATAGATATCTGAAGAAAAAGGACTACAATTTTTAATAATAATAGTAATTATTATTACATTTTACTTTCAAGGTCAACGATACACAAACAACGCTAAGTGAGAATGCTATCGTGCAAATTCACATACACGAAAACTGTACAATTCAAAATCAAAATTGTAGCTCTGCAAGTTGTAAAGGTGTTTAAACATAAACTAAATTATATAAAACAGGATTATTCAGTCTTCATTATTTTAAACACGTGAGGGTAGGAAAGTATCTCTTGATTCCGTTTGTACACACCTTCACAAAACGTAAATATAACTTTGTCTAAATAATCATAAATTTTTAAAATATTTATGCCCTCTTTTTATTATAAAACTCCCCGAATCACACATTTTATGACTGTTTTCGTAATAAACTAGACATAAATACAATTAATTATTCCATGTAAGTACATTTGAAACGAATTCGCTATCTAAAACATAAAAACTTATCTATATATTCTAGGTTTATCTATGAATAGTTTTGCTTGTACTTAATAAACTATTGTTTGTTGTATCTACAATGCTCTGGAAGTATTTTGCTTAATGATGATGATGGGGATTTTAATAATCTCTGCATTAAAGGTCCATGATGGCTATAATTAGAAACAGACTAAATGATGTGTAATTAATATCCAGTAAAAAAGTTAATTTGGAAATGGTAATTAATGTTTGAGATAATTTAAAGTTGAAGGATAAGCTCCAATAAAACACAGCATAAAAAGTTTAGAGCCAACAACTTTAAAATACCACACAACACAAACATTTCGGATGATGTGGGCATGAAAGCAAGGAGTTCATAAACTCAACCCTAAGAATTTTACGCAATTAATCATAATATTATTATACGTTTTAGCTTTTCTTTATGGCTATTTTATTTGACGTATTAAACTGATTAAATTTTATGGAACATTCGCCGCTTCAGGACAGCAAAGATTATAAAAATGCAATAAAAAGCGTGGATAATAATCCCTCGAGAGATTCTTTAAATACCCCATTTTCATTGCTTGACATATCAGCATTTATGGGTGGCTTAAGGTGCTAGTGTAATCGAAGTATTATTTAAAAATGGTCAACCGTAAATTGCTGTAAAAGTTAGTTTAAAATAACGAATGATAATGAAATGCAATTGATTTTCGCCTTTGTTATCTCTGCTTCGCGTTAGTGTTATAAATATTTTTATAGCGGAAAAATGAAGTCCACAAAGCTTTAGCTTTATCAGGTATGTTTGTTATACGTGATAGGAACAATGTGCATATTCTAAAACGACATAATTTATTGATAAGTGTGTTTCCGCAATAATAGTAATAGGTACAACATTATGGCGCAATATTCTTCAAGATAAAACGTGCCTTTGTAAAATCTTAATGTTATATTATAAAAATATTGTATTACTGTAGACAACATTGTTGCGGTACACAGTTTATGTCTGTTAATTACACAAATAAAGCACGGCAAGTTGCAATTCTCTTCTAAATAATCCATAAATCACCACGCCCCGATGTAATTTTCTTTTTTAGTGGTAGTAGCTTTCTTAATTAATTGTTTTCTTGTTTTAGTTATACGAAATCAATGACGACCCGAAGAGGAAAGAATTTCTCGATGATCTCTTCTCATTCATGCAGAAACGGGGTAAGTTTCTTCCTTTGTAATATTTTTAACGGTGCTGTCCATCTAAAAATAGCATCCTAAAAGCTGCCTTCTTGGAAGTTCGATTTCACCCTCCGAATAATAGAAATCGCACTGAGCCAAGCTAATACCTGTCCCGTGAACAATTGACTAACAAGAATTCAAAAAGATGAGTAACATAACAACAATGTAAATGTCCACTAAATGGGAAACGTGATGTTCATTTTATCTTTTGGTCATAAATCAGCAGAGATTTGGATTTAAAAAAATAGGTAGCTACCTTGAAATTACAGCTATCGTATCACCTTAAGCAACATTTATCAAACTTCAGGGTGTATTATTAAGCTATTATTGAATTATAGGGATCCGTCGCTACCGTTTAATGTTTTCGAATTAGACGAATCATCTTGATGAGAGTGTTTTTACGCCGTGATTCGGCCAATTTTATAGCTACGGACTTTAACCTGGAAGGATCGTAAATGATAACTAATTTTATTTCCAGTTTTCCGGGTAAAAGAGGACCACCTTGTTGTCCTTGGCTGTATTGGTGCCAAATTAGATGTTTTTTGGCAGAAGCGCTTGAGCAAATTGAGCGCGTCCGGTCTCTTTCATGTTTGTCAGTAGTATAAAAACCTCAATCAATTATAGCTAAATTATTTATTAATATTACTAATTTATCACGTTTTCATTTAACAAAACAGGTTATTGTTTTCAATTTTAAGTGGCATTTTCACAGCTTGGCAACCGACGTTTCCTAATTCACAGTGCAACATCAATAAATTATTTTCATTACTGTTTAATTAAAATTCTCTGTTGCAAGCAAACAATTCGGAAAATGACTATTAAGATGGACCCGTGGTCAGCCGATCTTAGGCAATATTTTATACACACTAAAAGTTATTTAAAAAGACTGCCGCCTAACGGTTGCTACGAATATCAGTTACCGATCGTCAGCATCAAATATCTTGTACACATTGTTGGAGTTCTAAGAGAAGAAATTACGGAAATATTTTAGTTTTAGGCAAAGTGAATACCGATTTTACAAAATTTCAAATTTGAAAATCTAGGTGTAAGGTTACGATAAACTGTTCGCATTTTTTGCCTTTATTTCTAAACATTACTTTTTCAAATACTGGAGTAAAAGTTTCGATATATCAGAGAGCACTGAGAGTTATGACCGACGTCTTTTAGATCTTCTGTTTCCAAAAGTGCATAATTAACTACTCGGGATTATGATAGTGATGATTTATAAGGCTGGCCTGTTTTTGAGTTGCTTATCCAAAAGCATCGAGGGTTTTGCGAATCGGACATAGATGGAGCGTTGAAACATTTGATCATGTTTGTCTGATTCATAGAATCTTTGTTCTTTTTTGGTAATTAACTTTACAGGTTTACAGTTAGTTCCTCAATTATCAGCTACGAAAAATCGTAAATTAGAATAATTTACTTAGCTTATTTGTAAAAGAGAGCAAAAGAGATTAAAATAAATTCAGGTCAATGACAACTAAATACCTAAAATGTTTGTCCTTGACGGAATTTTTACATTATTTTTTCCAGATGATAAACACAAATAACACGTTATGTAAAAGACATTAGATTTCGCGAGTAACAGAACAAAGGGTAAACGGTACTGTAGCAATCTATTCAGGTCAGGTTATCATGTGGTTTGCTTTGCTGTACCTTGTAACTATGGAAGAGAAGAGGATATAATAAAGATCTAAACATTTGATCTAAAAAATGATCTAAGCTGATGCGTTGTATCTTTTACCCATTATCCTGCTACCGCGGAATTAATAGTTACGTGTTCGCAAAAAGTCAAAAATTTATCAGGTATTTATTTATATCTAGAACTACTAAAAAGGAAGTTTACCATAAAATGAAATAAAATAAAACAATATATATGTTACTATATTAGATCAAGGTATACATGCATACATACTTAATAACGTACGTAATAGTTATATATACTTCCATTTTATTATGTACAACACTTTATCATTTTCGATTAACATAGATAGTACAAATAAAATCGGCATATAACAATGTTAATAATGCATGGTATTGCATAATTGTATGTGTGGTTGCGTATACACTTAGTTTTATTTCCTGAGTGACACAAATATTTTTATGTAACTAAAACACGATAACAACGTAATTTTATTTAACCAAAATGTCAAAACTACTGATCGTCTAAAAATCTGATGTAGCAGTTGCTTATGCTAGGCCCTGTTCATATAAAAATTACATTGGTTTGGTTCAGTTAAGTTTGATTTTGCTTCCCGAGCATAGGTAACGTAAAACGACCACTTTCATGTTTTCTCGACGCTTTATGATCCCTACAGTGTGAAACAATAGGTCCCCCGTTTTCTCGTGTATGTCTATCGTCTGTCTGTCTGTGTCGGTGCACATTGTGGATGTGGGCCGATAAGACTGCACTCTTTTAATAATTTCTTCCCAAGCGAGAACTTCGTTCACCTTTTCCACATGAATAATAATATTAATCATAAAAATAATCTAATTCATTTTTTGCCAGAAGCACTTGTATCATCTCTAAAAGCGAATTCATAAACCACAGGTATAAAAGTATGTTATTCTAGAAAATTTAAATAGGATTTAGTTTACAAAATTTGGAGATAATCAAATTGTTTTTTTTTTAAACAGTGATTATGATCCATGTTCCCTACAATTTTTATTTCATAAAATTTTTGACAAATATCATAAGCAACATAATAGTCATTTTGGAACAATAAGTTTAAACGCTGTTTAAGATTGGAAGTGAAATTTTGAAAATAAAGAAATTTAGTTTAGGTGTACCATCCCCATTTGAAATCATTAGAGCTCGAAAATCAGTAACACCATAAGAAAAAACAAGACAAAAATTATTTCTTTCAATCATGTCTTTAGTTTTAACAAAATTGACTTTGTTTCAGTAAATAATTTCTGTTTAAAGTAAAGTCAAGATATTACGAAAATTTTCGATTTGAGCCAGTTGACATAAACAAGTTTTACCACCATCTCGTCTATCGAAAATTAATTTAGTACAAATTTTTTTCTTCATATTATAATTCCTAAGTTTATTAAATATTTGTTTCATCTTATGACCCATTTTAAAAATTCCATTATAAAATTAAAATATGTGGAGTTGACTTTTATTAAAATCAAAGTTCTTGAATACCTGACAAATTTGGGTTTACTGCGTATGTGTAGTATTCAAGCACTTTTCGTACATACTGTAAGAAAATTATTCATAAAGGAAAATGTACAGATTTACCTTTTCCAGAGTGCTGTTCTAATTACATCGTCATTCCGTCATAAAAAATCGTTCTACATCATATCTCGAAAGTTAATGGTACCAAAAATCAATATTTAAACATCGTCAAGGATTCAAAATTAAGAAAATGAATGTACTGTTCGGTCTCTTAATTTGTTGGGTTAATTCTTTAAGTAAGCTTGGCACTGTATGAGTGAGCGTGTGATTTTTCTGTGCTCCTTCAATTATATTGAACAACTAGATGGGTAACATTTATATGCTTTATTACATTTTTTCTAAATATTCTGTGCAATTAGTAAGTTTAAGTAAGAGTTTTTTATTTCTGCAGTATCAGATATCTAATTTTATGTATCTAGTTGTTGTGTACTTACACATTATTTAATTTCAAACAAGTAAACCAGATGATGTTAAAACAGCACGCGCTTAGCATTAAAGCAAAAAAAGGTAGTGAAAGAAAAGTCGACATTAGGGATTGTAAACCCCGTCGGTGGCTGCCACGACTGTGAAGAGACACGACAACAGTATTTCATTTCGCTGATGTGGAAATATTTGTCGAATTCGGGATGCATTTTAATGTCGAAACCAGCAGACATCTTGTTGCTCTTCCACTTTAAATTGAATATTAGAAATCTTAAGTAAGTATGAGGAGGTTTCGTGTGTGCACGTTATGATCGCGTGTAAGATCTTACGCCGATCTGCATCTAGCCAGCAGGGTGCAAAATGCAATGACCAGTGCTACTCGTCATTTGGAATTAAATTCGTTTCAACAGCTGCCGCTCGAAACAATACTTCAGTAGTCATTATAATACAAATTTCTGTACAAGTACACGGTATTTCTAGCACTGAATAAATTCTTTAAAAGAATATATCATGCGGCTTTCTCTGACTCCGCATTAATTGCGACATGAAACGTAATTCCGAAAAAGAAATTAAAGAATTTTAAAAAGCATGTGCCATTTTCAATTATGCCCGCGAGTCGAAATTGTTGCCGGCAAGTCAGTTTTTTTCCAAAGCAAAATCGGCTTGAAAAATCGTAAAAAAAGATTTCGTCGACGCTACTGTGTTATTGTACGGCGGGGCAAATAAACTGTGATCTGCCTTTCCAAGAAACTGCAGCTCAAATATAACATTGCTAACATTTTAATAATTTTAATAGCTGCACGATTCCTTTAGGTCACGACATAATTAGGACAATTTCCAGATTGCCAATAATTTCAATGTAAGGTCATAATTGGTTTATATTTATGGAAACGAAAAATAGTTCAAAAAATGTCTATGTTATTACTGTGTAATGGCTATCTCATGAAATTTGCAACAGGGACTATCGAATGTTAGTTAGATAAGAATGCTAAACAGTACGTAATATTTTTATTATTGTTTTAATTTTGGCTTTTTGTGAACTAAAACTTTTAAATTACAACGGGTTTTTATGACACGTTTCATAAGATCTATTAAAGAAACTAATAATATGTTACACGTAAACTAAACTATAAATTAAGTATTATTAGGGCAACTAATCAGTTAAAAAAATTGTTTAACCAATTTTAGAAAACACTAATTTGCATTGCTTTTGGTGTCCCGAGTGTTTTATAAAACTAAAAAAAGCAACTTTTTCATTCCAGGATTCGGCTTTCTTAAATAATGACTTTTCTAACGTCGCTCATGTTATTGCTTTTTCCACGATTATATTGATGCTATTTAAGAATCGAATAAGTCGATTTTCACCATAAAA